AGTCCGTCACATCCAAAAACTCCAGTCATTTTTCGACATCCAAAACTCACATTTTTCGATCTCACATTCGGTCCGTCACATCCAAAACTCCAGTCATTTTTCGATCTCACATTCGGTCCGTCACATCCAAAACTCCAATAATATTCCATCTCCCATCCGATTCCTCACGTCACAAAACTCCAATCATCTCTCCATCTCCCATCCGATTCCTCGCGTCACAAAACTCCAATCATCTCTCCATCTCCCATTCTCTTCCTCACGTCACAAAGCCACAGTCATCTTCCATCTCCCATCCGCTTTGTCACGCCATCCTCAATGTTCTGCCTGGCATACTTAAATTCCGCCACCCACATGTTCACTTGAGCAAATGAAGCGGCAACATCCTACAGTGTTACTATGGATACTCTTGGGTGCTAGACCTTTCTTATGCAAATATAGAATCACTGCTCTTTCAGGGAATTTGTCCATTTAGCAAAAGTCACCCGCCTTGCTTACTTTAGAGTGCTACTTCTTCGACGTAAGCTGACCAAATGACACCAGTGTTTGTGCACACAGCCTTGAGTTGTCAAGGAATAGTAAAGCTGAAAAGGGCATCCCTGCTTCTCTTCTTCAATACAAGACTCACAACTTATCAATCTCCTAAACCTCCCTTTACTTTCATCTCAATTTTTACTTCATATTCCATCGAAACGGAAGACGAATTACAAAATACAAAGTAGAAAAAAAAACTGTGGACTTCAATTTAGTTCTTGGAATAGAGTAAACAGGATTTGTTTTTTCTTTTCCATTTAAACGTTTTCCGTTGGAATTACAAGTGAAAATCCGCCACGAAAGATTCTCGTTGTTTCCTGTTTCATCCTAATTCAGTTTATGATTAAATGACATTTATTTTTTTTAAGCAACAAAGGTCTAGTTTAAACATTTCCAATAAGAAATCTGTAGAAATGAGAACAATTTCGAATAAATTCATATAAATAACGTACTTCGTGAAGATATAATATCATTGTATTCTCAATCGACTTAAGATTACGGCACGTGTACGCTGAACCCTTTATCCTTTCAAATCACGAAATTTGAAGAAGATTTACCCGACAAATCTGAAAAAAAAATGTTCAGATCGAAATCGGAAACATCATATGTCATTAATTAGTTCTTTAATTAAAGCGGCGCGCGTGACAAACAGATCCGAGGTGATATGAGAGACTGGAATCTTTCCGGGGGTGGCGCCTCTTAAGACACGTCAATCACCATGGAAACGATATCGGAGTTTTACTCGATTTTAAGACAGTTTTTGTACATGCTGTATTTAGTAATGTGTTTGTCTTTTCCAAGTTGCTAATAATTATGCGGACGAGGAGCAGTGAGACACAATAACGACGCCGTGAAACAAACCGGGTTCATGTATCTAATTCATCTATATTCACATTAAAATTTTTTTTTGTCATTTTTATGTTCGAAAACTGTAATTGCGAACGTGATCTTTTTTTTCTGTCAAAGCAGCAAAGGTATTTTTAATTGATATATTTTTCGTTCACAATATGTGATTAATTCCTATGTCACAGATTTAATATAAAAAATCAGCACCATTAAATATAATTGTGTAGTGATTCGTGGAAATGACATGATGGCCAGTCAGCCAAACATACACTCAATCAGATCAGACATGGCACCAACCAGTCAGCCAAACAGCCCCTCAGTCAGATCAGACAAGGTACCAACCAGTCAGCCAAACAGCCCCTCAGTCAGATCAGACAAGGTACCAACCAGTCAGCCAAACAGCCCACTCAGTCAGATCATACATGGTTCCAACCAGTCAGCCAAACACCCCCTCGGTCAGATCAGACAAGGTACCAACCAGTCAGCCAAACAGCCCACTCAGTCAGATCATACATGAAACCAACCAGACAGCCAAACACCCCCTCAGTCAGATCAGACATGGTACCAACCAGACAGCCAAACACCCCCTCAGTCAGATCAGACATGGTACCAACCAGTCAGCCAAACACCCCCTCAGTCAGATCAGACATGGTACCAACCAGTCAGCCAAACACCCCCTAAGTCAGATCAGACATGGCACCAACCAGTCAGCCAAACAGCCCCTCAGTCAGATCAGACAAGGTATCAACCAGTCAGCCAAATACCCCCTCAGTCAGAAGAGACATGGTACCAACCAGTCAGCCAAACACTCCCTCAGCCAGATCAGACATGGTACCAACCAGTCAGCCAAACACCCCCTCAGTCAGATCAGACAAGGTACCAACCAGTCAGCCAAACAGCCCACTCAGTCAGATCATACATGGTTCCAACCAGTCAGCCAAACACCCCCTCAGTCAGATCAGACATGGCACCAACCAGTCAGCCAAACATACACTCAGTCAGATCAGACATTGTGCCAACCAGTCAGCCAAACACCCCCTCAGTCAGATCAGACATGGTACCAACCAGTCAGCCAAACAACCACTCAGCCAGATCAGACATGGTACAAACCAGTCAGCCAAACACCCCCTCAGTCAGAACAGACAAGGTACCAACCAGTCAGCCAAACATCCACTCAGTCAGATCAGACATGGTACCAACCAATCAGCCAAACACCCCCTCAGTCAGATCAGACATGGTACCAGCCAGACAGCCAAACACCCCCTCAGCCAGATCAGACATGGTACAAACCAGTCAGCCAAACACCCCCTCAGTCAGCCAAACAAGGTACCCCAGTCAGCCAAACATCCACTCAGTCAGATCAGACATGGTACCAACCAATCAGCCAAACACCCCCTCAGTCAGATCAGACATGGTACCAGCCAGACAGCCAAACACCCCCTCAGTCAGATCAGACATGGTACCAACCAGTCAGCCAAACACCCCCTTAGTCAGAACAGACATGGTACCAACCAGTCAGCCAAATACTCAGACCAGCCATATTTATTTATTTTAATGTCTTACCGTCCGCTATTCCAGTCTTCCGACATTCAAGCTGTCGTGTCCACTAACATTGTTGCGGGCTTCTTTCTGCTAGCTTTTTATTGTTTTATTTCATTTGCATAAAAATTGAAAATATTTTTTTTTTCACTTTTAAAAATTCACTAATATAGAAATTCGGTTTACTCAGTTATGAGGTATTTAGTAACATCACATTTCTGGAGTTTTGTCTTGCGTACCCCTAGGGGTTGAATTGTAAGATTGCTGTTCAGATGTATTATAAAACGTTTAATAAGAATCGAATATGTTATATTCAACTGAAACGTGTTCTTATTTTCGAATCTGATCGACAGACAGAAAACCATCTTTTCAATTATAATGATATGTTATGAAAAAACGAAATCATTTCGTCAATAAATGATAGCAATTTCATTTTCATTTTGTAACACTGGTCATTATTTATTACAATGCCTCCGCTATGATTCGAACCCGGGATCTCTGGCTTTCTAGAGAGAATTTCTCTCTAGCCGAGCGGTATTTTGCGGTTAGAATTTTACCAGGGTTACATATTCCCTCTCTAGAAAAAAACTTGTCCTCGAGTGTCCATGAGTTGCAAGGGAACTTGTGAAAGTAACGCTAAGTATTATTCCGCGAGTCTCTATATGGGCGTCAATATAACACGGAATCTAGGATTCGTACCCGTTATCTCTGACTTACTAGTTTGATGCTCAACCGATCAAGCTTAAGAGAAGTTCTCTCAAGCCGAGCGGTATTTACCAGGGTTACAATTTATTAATATTTTACTGTCATCGTAGCATTGAAAATAAGGTTCCCATTGTCCTTTACAACGGACATAGATATAGATAGACAGCTATGCATGTGGCATTTATAGCCTGATAATATCAATTTGTGTCGATGGAAATTGAATGATATTGGTTTATTTCAGTGTAGGCAATGTTTCATCCACACACATGTCAGCTTCTATAAAATTACTACCGATGAATTCAAAACACGTTTATAAAGCAAATGTAAGTGCAGATACCCGCAGCACATCAGACTAGACCAGATAATGTTTGTGAACGTAATACGAAACCAATATATCAACACAATACATCACTATATACGTCCTTCTTATTGGTAAGGTAGATAATGTCAAGTCAAATCTCTGTCAATTTGTAATGTTGTCTCGGATGTGATTGTTTACGTCATCACATCAGGTCTCGCTACTGATTCTACATCGAGAGAATACGTCCACGTGCAGACTCGCTAATGATTCTACGAAGAGAAAAATGTTCACATATAGACTGGCTACAGATTCTACAACGCCAGAATACGTTTGAAAAAACTATTCAAATTCTTCATATTGCAATATTTTGGGGATAAACATATTAATCATTTTGCACGTTTATTCATTTATAAAGAATTATGTAAACATTGGCCTGTCTTGTGACTCCCTCCTCCGTTCCATCTTCTCCTCTCCCCCTCCTCCCCATCCTCCCTCTTCTCCCTATCTCCACCCCACTCCCTTTCCTCCCATTTCCCCCTTTCCCCTCTTCCTCTCCTTCCTTCTCCCTCTCCTCCTCCTTCATTCTCCTTCCTTTCCTCTCTCCTCCTTCCCTTCCCGTCTCCTCTCCTCCCCCTCTCCTCTCCCCCTCTTCCCCATCCTCCCTCTTTTCCCTATCTCCACCCCACCCCCTCTCTTCCTGTCATCTACTCCTTCTCCTCCCTCTCTCCTCTCCTCTTCCTCTCTCCTTCCTTTCCCCTCTCCTTCTCCTTCCCTCTCCTCATCTCCTCTCCTTCCCCTCCTTCCTTCCTTCTCTCCTTCTCCTTCATTCTCCTCCCCCTCTCCTCTCCTCTTCCTCCCTCTCTCTCTCTCCCTCCTCCTTCCCATCTCCTCTCCTCTCCTCTCCTCTCCTCTCCTCCCTCTCCATCCCCTCCTCTCCATTCCATCTCCTCTTCTCTCTCCTCTCCTCTCCCCTCCTTCCTCTCCTCTCTCTCTCCTCTCCTCCCTCCTTTCCCTCCTTCCTTCCCTCTCTCCTCCTTCTCCTCTCCTTTCCTCTCCTCTCTCCTTCCTTCTCTCCTCCCCCTCTCCTCCTCTCCTCTCCTCCTCTCCTCCTTCCTTTCCCCTCTCCTTCCTCTCTCTTCCCTTCCTCTTCTCCCCCTCTCCTCTCCTCTCCATCCCTCCTTCTTCTCCTCCCCCTCTCCTCTAATCTTCCTCCCTCCTTCCCCTCCTTCCCCTCCTTCCTTCCCTCTCTCTCTCTCTCTCTCCTCCCCCTCTCCTCTCTCTCCCTCCTCTCCTCTCTCTCTCCTCCCTCCTCCTCCCCCTCTCCTCTCCTCTTCCTCCCTCCTTTCCCTCCTTCCTTCCCTCTCTCCTTCATTCTCCTCCCCCTCTCCTCTCCTCTTCCTCTCTCCTTCCTTTCCCCTCTCCTCCTCCTTCCCTTCCCATCTCCTCTCCTCCTCCTCCTCTCCTCTTCCTCCCTCCTTCCCCTCCTTCCTTCCCTCTCTCTCCCTTCTCCTTTCCATCTCCTCTTCTCCCCCTCTCCTCTCCTCTCCTTCCCCTCTCCTTCCTCTCTCTCCTCTCCTCCTCCACCCCCTCTCCTCTCCTCTTCCTCCCTCCTTCCCCTCCTTCCTTTCCTCTCTCCTCCTTCTCCTTCCCATCCCATCTCCTCTCCTCTCCTTCCCCTCTCCTCTCCTCTTCCTCCCTCCTTCCCCTCCTTCCTTCCCCCTCTCCCCCTTCTCCTTCCCTTCCCATCTCCTCTTTCCCCATTCGTCCCCTCCTACATATTACATTTAACTAATACCCAATACGTTAGTACTATACTGTCTGGTCTCCATGCTGTCGTGTTGTATGTGGTAATGGGATCGACTTACGGAGACAGACACTAGATCACATGATACCAAATGTACAGCGCTGTAAACAGAGGACAGACATCATTCGATAACACAGCTTTCCATTTTGCTTAATTATGTAACGATATTTTATTATCGATCTTACTCAATCTTTTCTATAGACAAATCACTAATTACATGTTGTATCCCATATGTCTTTATGTTCAATGATAGTTTTGAAAAGAAAACATATCTGAATTTGTCATCTTATTTATTCTGTTCGTTACTATATATCTTCGTTTGTTGTTGATTTTGTTTTCTTTCGAACTTATGCAAAAATACAAGCAACACTTACCGCGAAAATTGTAATTTTCGAAGGTTCAAATTTTCGTTGTTTAACGTTTGGTTTTCGTTTAACTATTACGATTAATTTTCGTTCTAAACCTTGAAGCAAAAAAAAAAAAAAAAAAAAGCATTTTTACGGAAGTCATGAAATAAACAACTTTTTCTGTATTTTGTTTCATCGATTTTTCTATTTTAATCCATCCTCGAAAAAGATCTTCTCGAAAATAATAATTTTTACAGCAGTAATGTTACGTTCCTTTAACACCAGCTCTGGCCTGCGATTCTTTCATGCAACAAAAATCGAGGCAAACGTTTACACGTAATTGGTAACTATATTGTGACGTCATAAATAGATTTTCTCGGTAGAAGAAAACGTACCGTCTATCTTGGTCATGAGAGGATTTTCGCTTAATGCCAAATAAATATGTTTTGAATAGAATCCATCGTTATTGTTCCATTATATCAAATTGATGAAGCTAATACAATAATTTGATATGACGTCCGTCTGAACGCATGTTTCTGCCAAATCATTGAAATAAACAATTAAATCACATACGCCTTTATTAGTCATTTATCAATATCTCAACATTCTCTGTCTTTGCAAACCTAAAATATCTAAGAGGCAGATGTTTTCGGTTAAAAACACAATAAAAATGTACAGCACAGAAATACTGTTGTTGATGATTATGACAATAAAACATGTTTATAATCAATCACACGGGTCTACATTAGTGTTACGTAAACTAAGGCCATGAGATTTTCGCTGTATCGCCCCGTGAATTGCCGGGGTCATTTGAGCCAGGGCAACCTTGAAGAGGCTGGTGACAACCTCAATTAACATCATACGGGAGGCCCATTCCATGTCATCGATAGACATTAAGTAAAGTGTCTTGCCCAAGGACACAACGTCAACAGTACAGACTGGTCTGTAGTCTCAACTTCCTCAGAAACACAAACTACTACAGGGTAGGGAGAGTCGAACCACACCCCTCGGATATTCACGCTCGCCACAAAAACAATCGTGTAAGCAGGCTGAACAGACTGTTTTGTCGCAGATATTATCAAATCATTAAATGTCATTGGTTTTAACTACCGAAACAAATCCCAACGAATCGAAATAATTGAGTATTTGTAAAGAAATAAAAATGTAGCGTAGCCACACAAGGACAGAACACATTGGAAACAGACAGAAGAAATAGTCAAATACTTATATCGAAATACACTCCAGGACAGTTGCACTCATCTGAGAAATATGCACCTTATGATTTTTTAAAAAGAATTTCTGCAGAATAAACAGAGGAAATGCTCGTTATCGAACGCGCTTCTAGGTACATGCTCGAGCATTGCTAGTGTTTTATACGAACGCACCCAGGTGCATACGCCAACACAGAAAGTGCATCTGTTGCTATTGATTCGAACGTAATTAAGAGTGCATGCGTTTTCTCTTCGTTGACAAACAGCGTTTGAAGACTTTAAAACGCTAAAAATGAATAAACTCCCATTCGATATCAGCACAGCGTAAAGTCGTCAGAATCGGGTTACACCGTGCACGAGGTTCCGAGCCGGAATTAGATTAGACGGGGAAAATAAATGCTGACTTTGGTCATTAAATAACGAATTTCAATAAAAGCAAGGTAAACATAATTAGCAGGTTTAACAAAGAACGTGTTAAATAAAGGTCAGATAAATTTAAGGACAGTTCAAGTCAGATAAAGGACAAGTTAGATAGAGGACAAATTAGATAAAGAACAAGTTAAAAAAAGGCAGAAATATAAAAATGGGGTCACCAACACAACCACATGGGTTCCCTCGTGTACTCTGGTTTCATCGACAAGATCCGGGCCAACTCTTTAAGAGTGACTCGGAGAAGTTGAAGTTACTTGTTTCGCATATTGTTGTAAAACTATATAGTTTCACATCTAAAGCACCAGTATTTTACAAAATAGAGTTATCGTTCCTGAAATATGCAATGCACCCTGGGACAAGTGATATTTTCACTGCAAATGCTGTGTAAAATTATATTGACAAGTAATTGATCAAAATTGAATTAAAATATCATTACTTGTTATTTTCATCGTAAAAACTTTTATTTCACTGAAAGTGATAAAACTAATTATTCTGCTATTTTTCAAAATTTTAAATAAAACTTCAGACCAGTAATATTCTTATATCACGTGAGTAACAACTACCGTACACGGAATCTTGTGTATTTTCGTTTGATACCATGCCGTCGTTGAAATGCATGAACATAAATATACAATATTTTAGATTTTCTGCTAAAAGTGCTTAACATTTTTTTTAAAAGAGATAGACAAGTGGATGAGGAAATGGACAATGGGATGTGCATGTTACTTTCCGTATTGGAGTTATTTGAAGTGTATGGCACAAAGGTACTAAACGCATGCGCAGTTTTAAAACAAGGACAGGATGTTTTTACATTTTGTATATTAAGGGCAAAAGTATTGTACATCTTCAACAGTTGCGCCTGTCTGTCTGTAAATTCATGCCATACACACGATTTTAAAAGTACACGTCATATTTAATTAAATCACAATTTGATGATTGTGAGAACACAGACACGGGAGATGCCGACAAGATGAAGAGTAGGTCTATGTGTCTGTACATCAACCAATAGTTAGCCTCGAACTAAAATCAAATTGTATGTTTACTGTATTTCTGTCGCCATGGTAACCGTAACATAAGGACACATCGCCGTCGATTTAGAACCGTTTACCACGTAATTAACCAATGCTTATATCCTCTAATCCGATATAAATAAAATTATAAGACTTGATACTGACTAGAACTCGTCAGATGGAAAACTCATACTCTCAAAACGAAGCCACTTTTAGGTTTTATTGCCAAGATGAAAAAAACAAGGTTATCAATTTTGAACAGGCATGTGGCAGTATGGTGGTATTTAATAAGTAGAGTGAGGAAGAAAAAGCATTTTTCATTCGTCCCACCTGCGATTTATAAACAGTGCACAGGGTTTAAATAATACAAATATTATATATACAGTATAAATATCTGGTGATTTTCACGCGTTAGAATTTTCGCGATTTTCGTTTGAAAGGAACGCATCATATTTCAACGAATTAATGTTTTGCGATCAGGATGTAAAATGACACGTGTATCATTATTATTATTTTTTTTTTGTTCGAATTCTCGCGATCACGTTAATGTACCGCGAAATAGCGAAACATATCATCCTCGCGAAAATGATCGGCTGACACAGTATACACAATCATACTCTCTTCATCAGACTTACATTGCACCAAGACAATAATACTTAACACAAACATTTTGTCAAGTTATTGCTAAAAGGATTGATAATAACGTTTGAATCAAGCAGATTTTTGACAGTACATCAAAGCGGTTAGGCAGCTTTCACGGATGTTTACTGCCAAGAGCAGTAAAACATGAAATATTACACGTATAGGCCTTACTTCAATCAATGGTGTGAACTACTCAACAATTTCACGATACGTGTAATTTACCAATGAGAGAGAAATGTGTAAGTTCCATGAGCTCATTTTGATATTGGTCAAATTTGGTCTCTTTTTTAACCATTCGCTGTCAATATGTCCTTTACTTACATAAACATAGAGAAACAGGAGAGTTGGTGCATCCAACTTCGATCGCTGACATTGGGATTGGGCACAAGTTTTACAAGTTATATAAAGCCCTTTCCAAACTTTATGATATACACACATTATATGTACAAGGCGAGAGAGAGAGGGGGAGAGTGAGAGGGAAGGAGAGAGGGAGAGAGAGAGAGAGGGAGGGAGGGGAGAGAGAGAAAGAGAGAGAGAGATTTACAGTTTGCTGAACTTTCTCATCAAGATCTTCATCAAACTTCAGCTTCCTGTGTGTTTGCAAAAACATTACACGAACCGCGGTAATGAATAACTACGCCTGACACGGACCAAAATATATCCGTGTTCGTGCCTCTGCGATATATCATCTTCAAGACACTATGTGGTATTTAATCAAATTTCAATTCTAATCACACGGCAATCTATTAGCCGTTTTGGTGAATTTGGTCACGATTTTCCTTCTTTTTGTCAGCTCCGATTTTATTTCAGCTTAAAACAAACTATACGGATGCCGACAGGACCTTCAATTTGAAACAATTATGATTTTAAGAAATTTTTTTTTCGATAAAAATTTGAATGTTTAAAAATCTTTATGCCATAAGAGTTGATTCAGATCATCGGGTGATGAACGGGTGCAACGAAATGTCACGTGATACACAATCTAGGAGAGAGACTAAAAGAAAAACGTGCGGACAAATGAAGCAAATGTTTTGAACGTTGTCTCAATAGTTGCCTCTAGCGGCCATGAAATGTGATAAGCAGACTTCTAACTTCCGTTTTCGTCTCCGGGGATCTTGAGGCGACAGTCGTCTTATTTTCATTCATCAAAGAAGCGTATGTTATATAGTTCGACAAAATATAATATAGTTTTCAAAGATCGTCAAACGATCAGACCATTCATTTTTTACTCTCGTTTTCAAGGCACCTATGTACTATCGGGAAAAGAGGCTACCAATGTGGTATTGGTTTAGAGGACCAGAAGGGGCGGAGTTCCTGTGTACAAGCGATCCGCTATCTCATCAGGTTCTTGTCTCATATTGAATAACATTATACGTCACTAAGTTAAATCAAAACTCACAAAATAAATGCTCAGCGATTTGTTCCGTTCTCATT